TAGGGGTACATATTCTTAATAAAATTTTAAGCAATTATAAAAAAATATAAAAAAAAATATTCTAGCAGGTATATTTAACTGCTAGACGGTTTAAGGGATAAAATTATAAGAGATCGAAAATTCAGGATGCTTGATTAACGAAGCACTTGATTTTTTGTATTCTTTGAGGAATGACAATCTCTAGGTTTTTATCATATCATACCTCAAGAAGGAAGATTCTATTATCTTGACAAAAGCATTTTTTTAGACGATCACGATTAACAATATCTTCGAGTTTTTTAACATCCTTATACCAACTAGTATTATGAAACCGGTGTTGTCTTCCTTGCACTTCAAACTCTAATCCATCTAAGAAAGGAGGACGATACTCAATTATAGGTTTTTTGTTAAGAATTTTCTCAGCTATTTAGTTTGAAATTTGCGATTTTTCTTGTCAAAGGCAATTACAAGATGGCTATATTTCGATTTCTTCGCAAATTCCTCTATAATTGGTCTTAATATTGCATTTCTTGCTTTAAGCTCAAGAATTGTCACTTTAATACGCTCCAAGAGGATTGGATACTGCAAACTAGTTTTTAATTTTACTATATTAGCCTTATTTTTAGCATATTTCTCTATAATTTGTTTTAAAAGTTTGGTGTTTTCGGTCTTAAGCTTTGTAGTCTCATCCTTAAGCTTTATATATTTTGTATTTTTGGTCTCAAGTTTAGCTTTCTCGGTTATAAGTTCTGCATTCTTAGCCTTAAGCTCAGTTAGTGTGGCTTTCTTAGCTTTCTCTTCTAATAAATATAATTCAGATTGCATTTTTAATAATAAAAGATGATTTATTTGATTTTTGAACTAGCATGAATGATCATGTTTAATCTATATCACAATATTTTATAATATAATAAATCCTGAAACACATGTGCAACGATTATGTATGCGAAATCGGCTACCAGGCCACCTTTATTGATTTATATATACAAACTTATCCGCCTGTCCATTCACAAGTTCATGTCAGATAAATATTGTTAACGATTTTTTCCTGCTTGAATTGCATATTTATCTCAGAATGGAAATGAAGTGAATTGGCGGGGATTCTTATAGTTTTATCGGTAGATTGGGTCATAGGCCCCAGGCTTTGCTTGTTCAGCATCAGTCATTATTACCCGCAAATTCACTTCATTTTATTTCAGGATATATAGATAATTTCTTGTTATTTACTGAATGCAAGGAAACGATTAATATGTTAGACTGATATAAACTTGGTTGGAATACAGATAGATACATGTGATATATAGGTCCAAGATATTTAATAATGCTTATATGTCGGTAAATACGTAGTAAAATTTAGCGAACGTATGTACCAGGGCCACGTAAAATTTTGGAAATAAATTTTCCAAATATTTGCACAAAATCCAAATAAATCCAAATTTTTTAACAATAAATATAAATATTTTTATTGGTCAAAAATCACCTTTTGATCACGTGTAATAATTACAGAATTAGCTTTACCGAAACCGGGTCCACATGTATAATTTACAAGGTGTAATTTTTTGATTGGTTTGCGCCACAACACTAGCTATGACATATCGTGAATTCTGAAATTTTTTTTTTTTAAAAAAAAAAAAACGGTAATTATTTTATTAATGACGATAACCCTTTAAAAATGACGAGCACTTCAGGAGATTTGAGCTTGAGGGATCAACAAATTGGTAAGCTTCGTTCTAACATAATTTGACCCATTGCATAGAACCCATTAAAAGTGTTCTTATTATATTGCTTTTTATGACGTGAACAGATGCCATAATCA